TGGTCATGGCCACTTGGGGCTTTAAAGTTTGGTTTTCCAAATGTGAAATAGAACAGAGTTTAAGGTAAGAAGACAGCTGATTATGGGTAGCTTGAGAAAGCTTCTCTCCTGTAGCTGGAGTTGCTGGTAAACATTGCAAAGTAAGACCATTCTCAGTTTCCTTTGTCTAATGCTGTAGCTGAACATCAGTAACAGTCTTGGACACTTCTCAGCTCTGCCAGAGAAGGTAGGTGACCTCCACTCTGTTCTTCATTTCCATTCTCTTAGTTAATGCAGTGCCTTTCAAGCATTAGGATTTTACTGAAGGATTTGGGTGGGGATTTTTTTTTGCCTTTTCTACTGCAACAATACTGTGGTATTACAGTTTGTACAGTGATTACTATTTCACAGTTTGGGATTAAGATTATTTGCACCCATGATATTAGAAGAAAGAAGTTGTTTGCGTTTTGGTCTTCATTGCATTAATTTATTTGTGTCTGTATTTTAATTTTAAAATTTCCTATGCCACCTTTTAAATGTTCTGATTTCAAGGACTGGAACCATCAGTATGTCAACATGGATTTACTTGTAGTAATGAAACAGCTTTGCAAATTTGGCTGAAAAACAAGACAAGGAGGAAGGAGAGGAAGCTTTCTTCTTTGCTTGCCAGCCTAAAGCAAGGGTAGTTGTGTGATCCAATATGTGAAACATGGTTTTATTTATGAAAAAAATTGTATGTATTACAGATCAGTCAGGAACATGTTTCTCAAGTACTCCTACCTGTTAAACATTGTAAGTATTTCCACTCCAGCTATCTCTACTTCCATGACTCTTGTAGAGGAAAGGAGGTCTTTTATATCAGACTACTACTTTCCTTTTGATGCTCTCCTTAACTAGAGAAAGAGCCTTCTACTGACTAGAAATGGAACCACTGTTTGGCTTAGTAAAAATAAACATGAGCTGACTCTTGAATAATTTTCTCTGTAGGAATTCAGGTTAGGTCTTAATTGTTTCTCTGGCTCATCATTAACCATGTCTGACCTGTTTCTGAGCATGTGATCAGCCTTAGAGAAGCTGAGTAGCTTTTATCAGCTAATAGTTGTGTATTGTGACATTTAGATCAGGAATACTGCAAGGGCAAATGGAAAGTCTTCTTAATGTTATGCTATTGCTTCTTTCTAAGACAAGACTAATTTTCAGTAGAAAAAATGGAATTCCTTTGCATGCAAGACAGCAGTTTCTTGGAAAAAAATGCGTTTTGCTTGCATGCTGTCATGTATCCTTGCTTCCTGCTCTGCTCAGTTTCCAAAGTGGGCTTTCTTTCTTATATTGCCAGCCCACAGCTGGCAAGGTGCTGTTCCTGCCAGTACAGTGTGAGCCCTGACAGAGCTGTTGATTTCCATTCTATGCAAACATCTCCCCTGATGTGCAGTGTGAAGTGGCTGCAGGAGTTCGCAGGCTGTTGCCACGCGCCGGTGACTTTGGTAAAGAACGCCTGCGTGCACATGTGGTGTGTGCCCTTGTGCAGCTCCTGAGCAAAGTCCAGCAGCCACCTATGTACGCCAAGGAGCCTAAGTGCTCACGTGAGCCAGTGTCTGACTTTGCACTGAAATGAATTAAAATCATGCACAACATCCAGACGATCTCTGTGGCAGGATTGGTAATGTCCAAGACAGGAGGGACCTTAGGTTATTCCTGTCTTTTGGAACTTCTTGGGATGTTTGAAGAATTGGGAAACTGGGGAAGGGAAAAGCATAACGAGTAAAGTAGCCTAGGAACTTGTCAAAGCTCTGTTGTGATCTTGGGTCCCTGACTGTTACCAGTATGTTTGCAGTGCAGTGCTAGGGCTTTGTGAGCTAGGCCTAAGCCTTTGGCTCTCTGGGACGCTTGAGTGTTACTGATGGACTGAGGGCACCAGAGCAGATGCTGTGTACTGTGATCTGCCAGCCTGCACTCCCTAAACAGGCCTGAAATGCTGGCTAAATGAAGGAAGGAGACAGTACCCTTATAAATACAACCATCAGCAGTGAAATCAGGAATTTAGGAACTTCTGTTTTCCAAAGAGTAATCCCAGTTTTTCAGCAGTTTTGCTCTCAATTGCCTGCTTGGTTCTTCTCCCTGCTTCTTTCACACATGGAGCAGTGCAAGGAGCAAGCAGAGGTATTTCTTCAGTCTAGGAGATGCTAAGGCTACCTGCTTTTCCCTTGAGTAAAGGAAGGGATATTGTCCTGTGATCTAAGGAGTTGCAGAGCTAGTTCTTGCTTTTAATCAGATTCTGTGAGACCTGTGAGACCCTTTCCCTCTGTGATCCCCATGGTAATATCTTTAATCCTGTTAAAAAATTTTGTTCATGAAACTATCACTATAAACATATTTTAGGTGGCTTTGTGATTACATCTATAATATTAGATAAAATATTTGAATCAGAGGTAGCTGCAGTGAGAAATCAGTAAAAAAACAAGCCAAACCAAAAGAGTTAGAAGACTATAAAGAATGTATTTTTCAGTCTGTATACATGCCAGCATATTTATATTAATACAAAGGAGTGCAAAGACTGGATTTCTTTAACTCATCAATCTGTAGGTATATACTGTAAACCAAGATTTCAGGAAAGTCAGCTTCTCCACTTCCTTTGTTATGCTGGCCCTACTAACTTGTTTTTGTCTTTTTTATGAAGCATCTTCCAGAATGCTGCTGAAGGCTATTGGCCAAAATTTACTTTTTCTGCTCTGCCTCTTTTTCTATTTATTTACTCAAATAAGCATTTTCATTTTCCTATGAAAATATTTTTTGCTATACTTCATATAAACAGGAACTTTTTTTTCAGTAATACCTATGAAAGGTTAAGGTGGAAAATACTGAATTATAGGAAGCATAGAAAATGCTATTATTTCAGTCCTTAGGATTTTTTTTCTCAAACTTTTCCCCTTGTGATTTGAAGTCCTATTTGAAATTTGCTATTTCTATGCATACTTACAGACTTCATGATAACATGTGTTTGAATTTTATGCTAAATTTTTGAATCACAAGACCTGACCTGCCACAAACTCTGCCTTTGGAATTGTACATCTGACCAAATTTGCAATGTGGGCTTTTAATTTTCTCTCAATTTTCTACTTGTGTTCAGCTTTAGAAGTAAGGTAAATATGCAGTTAGCTTGGCATGCAAATATTTTGAGTATAGGCCATGTTTTGGGGAATTTTTATTTAAAACACAAACCTGCATTTTCTTCACTTGCAGTTAAATAATGCACCTCTAGGTGGCGGTAGGACACACCGAGACTTATTTCTGTCTTTTTGGGTTTCCTTTTTAGTCTCCCTTTTCAAAGTACATACGAGTAACCGAGCTCCTCGGCTCTGCAGTCAGAAGGCAGAGCGCCTTGGAACAAATACAGAATAATTAGTGTTCAGTTTTATAGATATTAAAACTCCATATTTTTGAAGATAACACCAGCCAGTTATCTTTTTGCTTATTTTAAAACAGTGCATTACACTGGCCATAAAAAAGAAGCTTGATAACCCCGAGCTCGTGTTGATCAGTGTTTGTGAGCAGCTGCAGCTGCCCAGAAGTGCAGGCAGACAGGCACTGCCTTGCCCAGCATGCAGGAAGCAGGGAAGGGCTGGTCCTTAGTAGCCAGTGGTGACTGTAGCCAAAATAAAAAAAATCTTCCCTCGTGTTTTGCTGTTTTTCAGCTCAGTTAAAATACAAGCTGCATGAAACCCATCTTACAGTGCTATTCCACACAGAAATTCTGTTAGTCGTTTATGCCATTTAGTTATCTCAAAAACACTTGCATTAAGTATTTGATTTTTTTACCTCATGTAAATCTAACTTGCCTGTTTTGATGTATTCATTACCTGGGTGTGCACACAAAGTATTGGCTATAGCAGTTGCCAGCATTGGGATGTTTTGTAAAGTAGTGCAGATAATCCACTATCAGCTATACTACATTCACTGAAGATTTGTTATGAAGCAAAGATCAGAATTAACATTATTAATAAAATGCTTTAAGGAATTGCAGTTTTATCTAACTGGTTAACATAACTCAGCTTATTTTCTTACCTGTAGTTCTGTTTCCTCCAGGTAACTTCTATAGTGTATAGAAAAGTACTCTCTTTTTTTAATATGTTTTTCTTCCTTATGTAGAGTTGTCACTTACTGCATTTTCAACTGTGTTTAAGGAAAAAAATAGATGCTGAGATAAGGAAGTGAGGATCCCACATAATATTGTACCATATCTGTCTGTGTGGTACACCGGTGTGCCTGGGAAGAGCCACAGAAATACAGAGAAACTATAAGCTTTACAGTGTGAAAAATTACCTATCCTTTAAGTTTCTGTTCATTTTTCTCCTTGCTTTCTCACATGTCAGTAAAATATATTAGGCTGAAAATAAGCCTCAGACAATATGTCACTTCTTGCAGTTCAAAACTAATGTGTTTCATGAAATACACTTTAAAATCACTGGCAGTTTGTATCCCAGACTTACAACCATAAGATTTTCAAAATTGCAATTTAAACCTGGACACACAAGTTTTCTTTCCTTTTTAATGTACTGTTAACCCATGAATGCTTTATTGCCGTCTCTTCATTGATGCATGGATTCTGAAATGTTCATGTAAAATGTTATAGAAGTCTTCCATATGGTTTTCCAAAATGACATATATAAAATAAACCAGAATAAGAATGGTGCTGTTTATTTAAAAAAAAAATAAAATAAAACCTCTGATTTAGACTTACTATAATGAAATCATTGACTAATCTTTAAATTGCCTGTTTCTACCTAAAGATTTTAATACATTCTTTCATAAGAAACCTCAGGTTTTGTCTTTGACATAGTGAAAATCATTCAATAATTGTTTTGGGACTTACAAATGGAATCTTTGTAGTAGGTTGAAAAAGTCCTGCATATCCATTTCTGTCAATTTATTTATATGGCTTTAGAATTGTCAAGTAAAAATGCATTAAACTGAATAGAAATTGTCTCTGCCCCATTCAATTTTTTCTTCCTCTTCACAAACAGCTGCTGAAATACAAAGAATACTCCATCAGCTTGGAACACCACAGGACACGCCTGAGTTGAGGCAACAGCTGTGAGTACTTCACATCATAACACTTCATTTCATTGCATTGTAAACAATCTCCTCTTAGGTGATGAGGTGGGTTTCTGTGAGGCAGAGTGCTTGATTTTCCTGAGCAAGGTGAGATAGAGAAAGATTTGAAACTTAGATGTTGAGATGTGCTTTATAAAGTAGGGTAGACTGTAAACTCGAATCAGCTGATTTTACCATGCACATTGCCTGCAGTATCAGTGCATCTGTAAAACCTGTCCTGTTTATTAGTAAAGTGGCACAAACAGAAAGCAGTATCACTGCTCAAAAACATACCCCCACACCCCTCCACTCCAGTCAATGCTTCCAATCTGATTGTAGAAGTGTCACAAGGAAATGAATATATTGGGGTGGGTTTTTTGTGAGGTGGAGTACTGGGAGAGGAAGGGGAATATCATTTTTAGTGATGAAAGCTACAGTAAGGGGTGACATTATAGAATAAATACCTACCAGAAGTAGTAACATAACAGAAGTGAAATCAGACTCCAAGGCAGATGCTCTGCTGGAGTTCAGTCACCTAAAGGTGGACTTCCTCTAATATGCCTCTAGGAGAGACTGCAGCTGCTCTCTGCTTTTCTGCATGGTCTAATGAACCAGGATGATTTTTTCATTAAACTTCTTTACCACATTAATCTCAGCATCACAAATGCATGTAAGCAACATGTGCTCATCCTGGCATTTTTTGTGTGTTTCATGCTTTGCTGTGGCCATTGACTAGTAGGAGGAGGTGTGTGTTGGACCAAAGTTGTGATGTTCATTTTGGTGAACAGCCTAATTTCTTCATAACAGCCTAAGTTTAGGGCCCATAACATTAGCCAGGTACAATCCACAGGGGATATTCTACTGGAGACAGAACAGGTGAGGAGCAACATACACATGCAGTTGATGAAATAACCCAACAAGATCTAAGCATAAATTCACACCTAAACAGCACAGAAACTGTTAAGGACATGCTTCAGACCGTTATTGGAACAATTTATGTATATATAGTAAACATGCTTGAGTTTTTATTGCTCTTTCACTTCTCTGAATATTTGGCCTTTCCAAGAGTTATTTGATTATTTTAAATATTGATGCTGATGGCTTGATAATAGCTTTCCAGATAAAACCTTTTTATATAGACTGGGCGGGGAAGATGCCAAAGCAGGTAAAGAATTTGAGTTGCTTCAGAACAAAATAAAAGTGAATATTGGTAAAGGATTGTGTGATAAAATCGGAAGTATATTTATGTATTCATAATGACTACAAATGTATTACTGCACATTAATAAAATAGAGGAAACCTAAGGGAATAAAAAGTGAGTAATTATTAATTATGCTGTCACACTGCAGAATACACCTTCTTCAACACCTGTCTTGCCTGGAATCCATGATTTCATGCCTTTACAGCAAACAACAGAATAAAGATGGCTTTGTGTGCTTCAGAGAAGCTTTTAGTACTGATGTTTTTTGAGAATCAATGAAATTCAGCAAAGTAACCTGATGGTCTCTAATAAAAATTTGCATTTGGTTTTAGGCAACAGAAGCAGCAATACACCAACCAACTTGCCAAAGAAACTGACAAATACATTAAAGAGTTTGGATCTTTGCCTGCAACAAGTGAACAGGTATAAAACCAAAAAGCATGGCTTGTTTGATTAATATGTTGGCTCATGTAAAGTATTTGAGCCACTTCAGTTCTTTATTCCTGTTTTCAAAGCACTGTTTAGTTAGTTAGTCAACACATTTGCACAAGCAGGAATTCACTAAAATGTATGAATATTTTGTTGCCGTCCAGACTTGTCCCAAACTTGTTTTTATGTATCAGGAATGAAGTAGTGTGATTGAAGTAGTGGGAATCAAGGCAATGGGCTGTGCCTTTCTGCTTTTTCAGGTAGCTGGACACTTTGTAATCCATTGCAGTGATGCTGTATCTGACTCTGCCAGCACTCTGACTGCTTCCAGGGTCTAGGAATTGTGTGCCAAAACACTGTTCACTCACTGTCTGAATAATTTGATTATCACAGTATGTCTGTTCTGCATCACTCAGATCAACATATGCTATGTCTTGTCACAGGCTTTTCCTTTCTCAAGAGTACTAGACAGGAGCTGTTACTAAATCAATCTTCTTTCTGAGATGTGTGTAAAATCTTTCAGTCAGAAACATGTGAAGTGGCTGTTGTGGTTAGCACACTCCTGTTTGCCCTCCTGTGGTTTCTTATCCTAGCAAAATCTTTCACTTAAATAAGGGGAGAACAACAGGATCCTAGAAAACATGGATTCAGGTTATTGTCACTTAAACAACTAGTTTGGTCTGTGGGTAGTTAGTAAGGAGCCTTTGGAAAAGTGAATGGTCTTAAAACACGGAGTTCAAATGGCAGGCCGTGATCTATGTGTGCTCATCCTGTCAAGCTGTAAACTTCTAACAGCAGTGTTAGAACTTGATCTTGGTATATAACCTCTAGTTCAGCCAAAGTATCTTTAGTTTGTCAGGTTATTTTCTGTTTGCTTGTCTTGGACTTGAAAAGTTCACAGTGAAATGTTTTATAGGTTAATTTTACCCTTTTATCAAAGCTATTTCTTAATGAAATGCATAAATAACAGATTCATGAATGGCAAATGACAACCTTTCAGAAAATTGGAAGGGTTGATGAATGCATATATTTAGGAAAATATGGTGGAGGCTCTCCTGAGTGCCCAATATTCCCCTTCTTCTCACTACATCTTGGAAAAAAACAAACCTGAAAGGATAGAACAAGCGTTTCTGGATCTGTTTTAAAGCATTTAAGGGAGTACGTGAACCCACTGCTAGATTCAGTTCAATATGTATTTCCAGCATTTATGTAAAATACATAATAAGTGCTCTGTTCTTTCTTTTCTGCACCCTTCCTCCCCTCTATATTCAGTCATCTCTGCATATTTTAGCATTCCTGGTGTCAAAATATTTCACAATAAAGCAGAAGATTTTACAATCAGTGGATAATAAGGAAGGTAGAAGCTTTCTTATCATTGCTCATTTCCAGTTGTTAAATGAAAATAAATACATTGATTTCTTCTTTAAATGCCTTAATTTATGTGGTTATGTTATCCCAGAAGAAAAGAAGGCTTGTCCATGGAATTGCAAATGGTTTTGTTGACAGCCTTCCCTTACACCAATTTAGTAGAAAGGATATATATGCCTTGGTATTTAGCAGACTGGAAATAGTAAAGCCTTGAAAAGCCTGAGCTCATTTGACTTGGTAAAACTTTTTCTCCTACAGCGTCAAAGAAAGATACAGAAAGATCGTCTTGTGGGAGAGTTCACCACAGCACTAACAAATTTCCAAAGACTCCAAAGGCAAGCTGCTGAGAAGGAAAAAGACTTTGTAGCCAGAGTAAGAGCCAGCTCAAGGGTGTCTGTAAGTATCAGAAAATATGCCACCATGTTCTTTACATTGGTGTTAGGGGGGTTCTGTGTGAGATTTACCTCCACAGTGCTACTTAGCTTATAGCTGAGTCTAAATGCTGCAGAACATGTGCTATATGATATTATAGTAAAGGCTGCATTAAGTTGTAATAACCTCCCTGGACAACTGTTACTTCTTCCTTTCCTTTGTCACAGAGAGGAATGAACTGCCCCTGTGTTCATGCTGTAATCTTGCAAAAGCAACTTCTAGTAGATTTTGAAATGCTTTTGCTCTACCTTTACATATCAACAGATTTTTTTCCTTTGGGGAAGAATGACTTCAGTGGAGCATTAAGGTGGAGAAGTGCTGAGTAGCTTCAGATTTTCCTTGTCAGTATATCAATTTTACCTTTTCACTCTGTGCCAATACACATTCCATACTTGTAAGTTGCAGCAGGCAGTTACTGAGCTGAATGCTTTTGCTCATATTTCAGCCTTATGCATGCATAAAGCAAAATCAGAGAGAACATGTTGAATCATGTTTCAGTTTGACTTACCAGAAACCTCCCAGTATTGACTCCTTATAGAAATGCTGCCAGTGCTCTTTTCAGGGGTATAATGTTTTATTTATATTTTTAAACACTGATCATGTAGGGTGGGGCTCCAGAAGATAACTACAAAGAAGGAACACTTGTCTCTTGGGACAGGTAGGTTGAATCACTTAATATGCCTTATCCTAGCTCAGAATAATGAATGGCCTGCAGGGAAGTAAGTTGACCATGGGGTTTTTTTTGTATTTAGCATAAAGATACTTTGATGGCATACAGGGGGAGAAAAAGAAGCAGTTCACATAATGTCCCTCGTTTTTTCCTGATGCTTCAGCTGCACACATGTCCTTAAGCTCCCCTAAGCCGCATTTGGGTTTTCTGGGACCAAAAACTTAGGGAAGAAGATTCCAACTTGAAAAAAGTAAAGCTTTTGTGATAAGGGTCTAGTGTTTACTGGGAACTCCCATTACTTCCATATTCTTTGAGAACTGTTTCTTAGTCTCAGATTCTTTTTTGTTGCTCAGATAGATGTAAAGTCTGCAGTTGATAGTTCAGAAGAAACTTTGACCTTGTATTCCTACTTAGAATTTCCAGTCAGTCCCCTGCTCTGTGCAGCACTGCTCCAGCAGCTCTGCTACACCACAGCTGTGATGGTTATACCATTTCTGTTAGCCAGGCACAGACAAGGGTAAAACCACACATTTTATTGACTGATAACGTAAAACGTGCTATGTACTTAACTGTAGTTTTATCCTTTTGAATAATTTCTCATTGTATTTGTTCAGTTCTGCATGGGTTTTGGTTTTGTTGTTTTTTTTTTTTTGTGTGTGATAGCCAACCACAAACACAAGTGCAAGATGAAGAAATTACAGAAGATGACCTCCGTCTTATTGAGGAGAGGGAATCTTCCATTAGGCAGCTTGAAGTAAGTACAAGTGGTTTTACAACAGAACATGTTTTTGATGTTCCAAAACAATAGCATTTTTAAAGGAGCATGAGCATTGATTGGTGGCATGAATCTTGAGTAGTTTGGATTTGTCTGTGGGTATTTGAAATCTACTGTATGAAAGCCATGTTTTGATATACTGTGTTTAACTTCAGTGGTTCTGTGGAATAAGAGTGCTCGTGTGATTGCAAGAAAAGATGCATACCATTTTTTTCCAATATGATCATATTATAGAACTGTTTTAAACAGTGAATATAAATGTAGCAAAATTAAACGTCTTGTCACACGTCTTCCCAATGTATTGTTCATCATGTTCATTTTTAAGTGGACTTTTTTGAACATTTCTTGAAATACAGAGATTTTCTATTTCATTGAAACTCTGGTAAGTAAGGACCTCAAACTCGGTCTCAAAGTACGAGAAAAACTTTTAAAATAAACACATTAAGGATTTTTTTTTCCATCCTGTAATATAAGGAGTCATGGATGCACATCCTGGAGGAGAAGAATATAGTATTTATATCTAAATAATGCACACAGATGCTTAAATGTGTGATGTACGTTAATGATTTCATTTTGCAGGCTGATATTATGGACATCAATGAAATTTTCAAAGATCTAGGAATGATGATTCATGAACAAGGTGATGTAATAGGTAAGTCCAATTCAAATATTACCTGAAATTTTTTTTATTCACTTTCTCTGGTGAGCTGCAGTGTAGAACTTCCTTTTGCTTGAAAAATTCCTTTAATGACACTATTAATGCTAAAGCAAATCAGATAGAACCTAATAATGGGTAGACTGGCTGAGATGACTGGGAACACAGTAAGAAAGAGTGCTTAAAATTTAGTTTAAAACATATAATTTTTCATGTGTATAAAATGTCTCTAAAGTAGTTTTTAGAACTATTTGTATATAAAATTGGAAAAAAATACAATCTGTGTCAATATGATAGAACACCAAACTAGAATCATGCCTCTTGGGTATTGTATTGTCCATTGCCTCTGTTTCATAAACCTTAGGACTTCTTTTAATCCGAGCAGAGAGTAGTCAGTAGCAAGTTGGAGGACAAGTAAAAGGTAATTTAAAAATGAAAAAAAAAAAAAGGTAGAAGTACTGAAAAACTTCTGCCTCAGTTGATATCAAAGTTTTAGCCCTGCATGCAGAACAGGAGAGCTGTTACCCGACATGAATTCAGCCAAGTATTGCTTGGGCAGTTTTGGAATGAGCTCAAGCATAAGTGTAGGATGGATCAAGCTTTCATAATCCAAGGTACATTGATGAATACACCAGCATTTTGGGGCAGCTGTTTATATGCTCTCAAGTATATTTCAGCATTCCAAATCTTTGTCTGGGTTATGACTTATCAAAATCTGCAATCTTTCTTTTCAAAACAAAGACAGCATAGAAGCCAATGTGGAAAGTGCAGATGTACATGTGCAGCAAGCAAACCAGCAGCTGTCAAGAGCAGCAAACTACCAGGTAATGCCAGTTGTGTGAAACTGTCCTGCAGTAGTCCTGATTTATGCTTTCTTATGCACTCCAGATTTTGCCTAGCAAATTCCTCAAGGCTTGAAGACTTAAAGGTTTATGTTAGACTACAATGGTATTTCTAGGTCAATATAAAATAAGTCAGTGACTTTTGAAAGCTTTGGGTTTCCTCTGTTCCCAGCCAGACTGTTTCAGTATCTTATGCGATTCTGTGAGAACACCTGGAGTTACACCTTTACTTAAAACAAACAAACAAAAATTCCAAAACCAACAAAAATCCTTACACAAAGAGACTCCTACTTTTATAATTCAAAAAGTTAGAGGTTCCTGTATATGGGAGAGCAAGCCTTTGGAGATCACTGGTGGAGTAGGGAAGATAGGCAGGAAAATCTTCTGAAGATATGGCCAGTTATTACCAATTTTTGCTGTCTAAAATCTTCCCGATGTTGTATATATCCAGCTTTTTTTACTTGCTACTTTGATGATAAAAACATATTTCAAACTGTCAAACTTTTTTGAAAAGACTTTTAATACCTTTAAATGCCATTTCTTTATAACATTTTTGGAACTTATTAGAAATAATTGTATTATTATATATATATATATAACTAATATATAATATTTATATAAAGTAATAGTATTTCTAATTACTAATCTTCCCCTTTAAGCTAGAGTTAGTCCTTAGACTTTTTTTTAAAAAACCCTCTTATGTGTGTTAGCAGTAAATGAGTGACAGAATGTCTGAAAGGTTGTATATATCCAGCTTTTTTTACTTGCTACTTTGATGATAAAAACATATTTCAAACTGTCAAACTTTTTTGAAAAGACCTTTAATACCTTTAAATGCCATTTCTTTATAACATTTTTGGAACTTATTAGAAATAATCGTATTATTTTTTATATATATATATATATATATATTTCTATATTATATATTATTTCTAATTATTTCTAATTATTAATCTTCCCCTTTAAGTTAGAGTTAGTCCTTAGACTTTTTTTTAAAAAACCCTCTTATGTGTATTAGTAGTAAATGAGTGACAGAATGTCTGAAAGGCTGCCTGCTGATTTCAGAAGTAGGAGAGGGGATGCATCCTTGAACTGTATTCTCACTGGGACTAATTGTCACATTAAGTATGTTTGATGACTCCTATTTTGATACTTTAAAAATTCTGGAAAAAAAAAAAAAACATCCAAAAATTTCAGTGTAAGGTATAAGTTTTCTAGTTGAAATTTAAAATGAAAAGCTTCATGATTTATTTTGAGGAGGAAAGGATCTTCCGATCTCAAAGGAAAGTTATCAAGACTTGACAAGCTTCTATTGAGTGGGTCTTGCAAGAGGGACCAAACACTGCAGAGTTGCTGTGTGTTTGGATGAAAGGACTATGTAGTTTGCTTTGGATTTGCTTTCCTTTGCTTGAAAACTTATCCTTGTAACAAGGTGCTGAAAATTTTGGCAACTATTGTATCTGGCCTAACCTTCTCAAGGGAGTGTTAGAGGCCCAGGTATGCGGGGAGGGACAAGGCTGTTGATACTCCTACAGCTCCTGTTTGTGGTTGGATGAGCTCTATATCACTCATCTGCCCTGTGGAGTACATTCACACTGCAGAGCAATATGGGCAAAGCCAGGCTGCTTCAGCACTTGTGGAAAGGATGACCAATTGTATGTTGAAATAAATTTGCCATGCCTTGCTTAAGGAGTATTACAGGGGAAATGTTTGACTTCAATGCAGTTCTGGTAAGAAGGGGGTCAGCAGGATGCAGAAGGAAGAGATTGTGAGTGTAAGGAAATGATAATGGACAGAGGGGGAAGGTACGCCAGCAAGCTTATTGAGTTCTAGCAAGTAAAACAATGAAATTAAGAAATCTTAGCCTGATGGTGGGAGAAGTGGCAATGAGACAATAAAACTAAAAGAATTTTTATGAAATGTGGTGGTCTGGCTATTACTGGTTAGAGAACTGACAGCTTCTATGAAGAACTGACACAGATGTTGTTCTTCAGAGAGAAAAAAATTAAAAAAATCCAAAACATCAAAACCACCCAGGCAGAAGAACTTTTGCCAAGTACAGCACAGACTGCCTTTACTTCTGGGACTATGGCCTAGAATCCCAAGATCTTTGTTTTTCCTTGGCTATTAGCAAGAGCCTGAGAAACCCATTTGGTAATTTTCTTCCATCCTCTGGAGGAAACCTTCAGATTCCATACCCTTCAGGTAAAGGATGAAAGACTGCTGCTGCTCTTGAGTGCTTTGGTATCTCAAGTTATAGACCTGTATGAGAAATGTGAAAGTTCTCAACATGCTCATAGCTTGGACTTTATTGTAATGACATCTATTTAAGTGGTTCTCTAGTCATGTCTCTTTCGTTTGGTTATTTTTGTTTGTTTTCTTTAAGAGGAAGTTCTACCTAAGAAACTTGGCAAAAACACCTTTAAAATAACTGTGAATGGATACACAGCAGCCCAAAATTGTAGTCTGTTGTTCCCTTCTGTATATATACACTAATAGTCTTTTTTTTCTAGCAGACCATTTCTACTTTCTCTGTTGTGCAACTGATTGTCCATTTTCCTCTCTATGCTGTCACCTCATGTTACTTCCCCCAGAGTTTTAATTATATCCACTCATTACAGTACTGTGTTTTAATTAATTTATTATGTGTACCAGAAAATACCACTGAAATAATTCTGTTGAATAATATAGCTATAAAGTAGTGTAGATAGGTTTTTTTTTCCTTAAACATCTTTAGATGTCTTGACCATCTTTATATGTAAGGACACAATTTAGTTAGAATGCACAAGTAGCAGGACCATAAAAGCATCTGAATAGTTTTCTGATGTGGTACAGTTTTCAATCAACTGTGTTTTTCCTCTTTTGCCAGCAAAAATCCCGAAAGAAGATGTGCATACTCATTATTATACTTGCTGTTGGAGCATTGCTTGTTGGAGTCATCATATGGTTAATTGCAAGATAAGTCTCTGGAGAAAGCTTTGTAATTTGTATTTAAATTAGGAAATTCATAGTCATGGTTTGCTCATTGTGAAGCTGAGTAAAATAGTGGTTCTGTATTTCATCACGCTTACTTTTTTTATAAGACTTTTTGTTTTAACCTGAGAAGTAATGTTCTCAGTACTGCCATCAGTATAGCTGCCTGGCCTCTCAGATGTGGGTGCTGTCTTACCAGGAAAATAACAGTCAAGATCATAAACTGTTCTGTTAATTTAAACATGAAACATCTTAAAGTTTAGGGGGCTAATCAAAGTAAGGATAACTTGTGTTGACAGGGTGGGTAATTATCTTTTGGGGTATTGCTAAATGTTGCTGCCAAAACAAACTCCTGAATTGTTGCTTGAGGCAACAAATTCACATCTCAGAATTTATTTTTAAGTTAGAAATATATTTCTTCTCTTTCCCTTCCATCGCATTCACCTACCCATTTGATATGGGTAGTTCAAACATACAACATAGGTTGCTGAAGTTGATGTGATCTCTCTTTTATACCTGAAGCCTGTGAATTAAGCCTTCAGTTTGCTTGAGATCTTTTAAATGTTCCATTTATCTCTATATCTGGCATCAAGTATGGTTATGTCTGGAAGCCTCCTGGAAAGGTAGGGAGGTTGAATGATGTAGTTATGTGAATTTTTTTTCCAGTCCTTGCATTAGGAAATACTGTGTTTTATTGCACACATCTGGTATCTTTGCATCTGAAGTGTGCATGAGTGCATTTGGTTAGACAAAAATATGCTCTAGTCTGTGACTTCATAGACTTACTGGGAAGAATAGAAATTCCCAACTTCCTAGCTGCACTTGAATGTCACTGTTCTGAAACTGCTGTGATTTAGTTTCCATGAACAGGTACAAAGTTGAATGTGATGTCTTTCACACAGCTTAAGAAAAGAAGATTAGAAGTTCAATTCCAAGTTCAACACTGGTATTTGAAATTAAGTTAAAATCAGTTGAACTGACTGAAAGCATTTAAAAAGTTTGATGGTTATAGCCTTTAAAATGACCTTTTTTCCTTTTGTGCCATTTTGTACTAATATATTAAAAATGTAAAACCACTTTTTTGCCAATTAATCTATTTGCCTTTTTACTTAATCTTGATTAACTAATCTGAAAAGTGTACAGATAAAAAAGTCACTTAATCTGTATTTTATAGAGTTCCTCCATACCAGAATGATAGAGAATACACTGTGTACATGGTGAGCTATGAAATATTATTTGGGAAGAATCTAACTGTAAGCATAAATGAATTGTAACCATGCAACCAAAATAAAGGCCTTTTAAAGAGTGCACTTTTCTAGTAGTTGTTTTTTTTTTCAGAATCCATCTTTAAAAGCACAGCTGTTGTCTTTGCCTTTATGTGAATGATTGAAACTTCTCTGAACAACTCCAGAGAATTTTAGCTCAGCTGGTGAGGAAGCCCCAGGGAATCTCTCTTCCTGTACTGTACTTCACATTGTCAATGAAAATACTTCTGGATCTTGCATGTCCAGCTAGTGATGCTAATGCTGTGGGATTTTTGGTTTCAGACTACACTAGTCTAAACTAGAACAGCATTCAACATTTAGCCAGGTAGCTTTTTTACCAATGAGCTAAAACTGACTTTGGAAAGTTCCTGGCTTTACTGTTTAACAAACTCTTTGCGCTACTGCAAACAGGCACAGAAGGATGACCTAATCCCATTCACTCAGGAGTGTTGTCATAATATTACAAGAGCTCTATTGTCATTATATTCTAAGGGTTCCATATTGCTAGAGTTCCATACCTCCTTGGTTTTTCTGGTAGGCAGCTCCTCTAAGCACTGACTCTTCCTTCTTCTCGTAGCAGCTAACTAACTCCAGTTCCCTCTCAACCAACCAATCCACTCTTTTATAGCACTCTTATTATTGGCTACAGTTGTGGCCTGTTATAGTCAGGCCTGTTCCCAATCTCTCAGCTGGAGAGAGCTGTTCCCAATTGGCTCAGATGCAACTCCTTAAGGGGTAAAATTACTTTCTATACTACCTTTATTTTCTTATGTTCTATCCCCCTACACAGGAGAATCTTTTCCCTGTTGCAATACCTCATAACTGTCTCTGTCAGTGACTGATTTTATTGACATGCTGAGGAATGAAAAAAGCTCTTTGGCAGCAGAACTTCACCTCTGACTCGTGACAGATCAGAAATTCTGTCTATGCTTGATACTCGTTACATTGCATTTGTTCTTCTTGTTTGGTTTTCTGTTAGGAGGATTCTCTACTAAAATGCATACCACCTTAAAGAATATTGTTCTTAGGAAGAGATGGTATATTTACCATCTTGTTTGACTGTTTACCTTGTAAAGGGGTGAATACCCTCTTTACTGAGTTTGTCCAGTAGTGACTGCAAGGTGGGATAGCCAGTACATAAAAGCCTCCACTATGAGGAGCTGGTGAGAGTCAAGCTGTGGCAACAGCACCAAATAACTTGGAAATTCTGCAAGTTTCACAGCATTGCATTTCCCAAACCCCTGCTGCAACCTGCGGTCTCTGCTCTTCTGTGTCTGATTTATGTGCATGTCTTTATTTCCCACATAGAATTGTCTCTATTTTCAGACTCATGTGCCTGTTCAGCTGCTCTCTGGTCTTAGTGGTGGGGGCACTCTTGGGGAGAAGAGTGCTGCTGAGAGTGCCCCTGGGTGCCTTGCTTTCTTTCATTCATGATTTATTGAAATAAAACCCTGCTTGTGATGTGGGGGTGCCTCCCCCACATGCTCTCAGATGAAAGAATTCTTCCTTGAATCCTGTGGAGGTGGGATACTGGAGCTCTTTACCTCTGGATGAGACAATGAGCCAGTTCTCAGAAGTCACAGGGATGTTCTGGCAGATATGGTGGCTGCTCCTGCCACCCCAGGGGCTGGTGGGGAGATCAGTGCTGGAATGTTTACACACAAGCTCCTGTACCTGTTGGAGAGACCAGCCTGCAAGGCCCTAATTGCACATTAAGGATCTTGGGGCTGTTCATTTTCAAACTTGATTAGGCAGAAACAAAGTGCTGGGAGGGGTAGTATTTAGAGTGTCCATGTTGGGGGGCATAAATACTCCTTTCTAAGCTGCTCTTAATGGAGCTTCTCTCTATTATTTCCCTCCCCTACGTGCATACACTTTTAAATGTATGAAATTCAACTTCCAAGTTTTTGAAGGAAGCTTTGATATCTATTAAGAGCCCAATAAAACATCTGGGTGTAACATGTATGAGTCAATGTTTTTAGAACAAAGATTTTGGCTGTTCTGAATTATCCATCAATATCTGTCAGATTAGGAAGGCCAAAAATGCAATCAAAGCACCCTTCATTTTACTGAAGGAACCTGCTAAGAAGAATTCCTTTGTAGTTATCTTAACCACACCCCAGGGGTGTTTTTCTGTTCTTTCTTACTTTTTCAAAGGGCTGAAAATCACAGGGGCACACAGCTTTTTAAAGGTTTTTGTTTTCTTTTTCCCTGAACCCTTTTAAATTGTTCTGGTAATCAGCAGGGTATACAATAGTAATACCAAGCTCACTTCGTACCTAGGAGCTTTCTTAAGTCACCCACCCGTACAATGTGTGTGTATTGTCAGCAAATATGCTTGGTGTCAGAGGGGTGGGCTAGATTTTGGCTATCAGTAGTTTGAAAACATGAAAAAAACGAGTAAGGGGTCTAAAGGTGGGGAGAGGGAGGGAGAGAATGACATGATCTGTTAGTGAAGTTGAACCAATACCCTCATAGTTTATCGCTGGCTTAGGATGTTTCAAGCAGTGTGTGGTTGAGTATCACATGTGAGAGAAATTACTTGCTTGGCTTTTGTTTAATTCTGCTTGAACCTCGTTGATGATTTCAAGAGCACCAGTGAGAGAGGAAAGTGCAGAGATCTCCTTGCTGCTGGGTATCAACAGTTGATGACTTTCTGTTTCTTAGGGTACATGTGGTGCAAAGTGCTGCTTAAGTGGGTACCACACAGCTTTCTCTTTCAGTTTGCAATTAAATCCAGAGCTCTCACCCAAAGCTGTTATGGAGTGAGGACTAATTATCCTCTGATGAGGTGCCCACCTGCAGAGCCATTCTAGATGCTATTGCAGTATAAGGGTTGCAAGAATGAATATCTGAAAGCAATCAGCTTCCAGGCATTTTTGTCCTTGTAGGGATCTCTGAGGAGGCCCCTGATGCTACAGGGGTTTTTGTAGCTCAAGAATGCAGATAACATAGCAAGCATTTACTTAGCTTTGTGTATCCTGATCCATGATATCCTTCTATGATAAAGGGAGTTGTGTTTGCATAATACTAAAGAACTCCACAAATCCAGGAATAACCAGAAAAGTTAGCAAAATCTTCAACTTTTAGAGGCAGAGAGCAACAAATGTTGCTGTAGTTTGCTTCTCAACTAATTTTTAACTTTTCCTGTTGGCTGTATTGAATGTCTAGTGTTGAGCACAGCTGTAGTGATTTGGTTTGCTCCTATCCCAAGTATCACTATTTCAAATATCAGAAAAGTACTCAGGAAAGGGAATGCATCCCACTTGTGGGTATGGTGCAGCCACAGAAGAGGGCCACAAAATGGCTGGAGCACCTCCTTTCTGAGGTCTGAGAGAGTTGAGTTTGTTCAGCCTGGAGAAGAGTTCAGGGAAACTTAATTGTGGCTTTCCTGTACTTGAAGAAGTCCTCCAAGAGAACTGGAGAGGGACTTTTTACAAGGGTGTGTAGTGATAGGGCAAGGGGAGTGGTTTTAAACTGAAAAGTGGGTAGGTTTAGATTAGATATAAGGAAGAAATTATTTACAATAAGTGTGGTGAAATGCTGACATAGGTTGCCCAGAACGGTGGTGGATGACCCAGCCCTGGAAGCATTCAAGACCAGGCTGAACTGGGCTCTAATTACTAATTACTGAGTAACCTAATCTAGTTGAAGATGTCACTGCACATTTCAGGAGGGCTGGACTAGGTTACTTTTAAAGGGTCCTTCCAATCCAAACTATTCTATGACTGCATTTACAAGAATATCCTAAGAAGAAATATTCAGTATAAATGTCTGCTCTTTAATAGTCATATCTCTGTATATGAAAACATCACTTCTTTGCTACTGCTGATAAAATATATTTTTCTGATTTTAGACAAAAATAACCTAGATTAAAATGCTTGTTAGCACAAGAAAAATAATAATTTTGAAGCTTTTTCTTTTTATTACTGTCACATCTCAAAATATGTCTTGCATATTTTAAAAATTGTAAAAGGGGAAAGGTAAAAATAAACACAAAGAAAATTGGAAGTCACTAGCAGCACATTTCACCCCTCGTTCCTCCTTCAAGATTCATTCTGGACTGAGTTTTAATTGTGTTTTTCCTTTATTTAATATTTATGCAGAAAATGTTTGGTCTTTGGCAATATAGTTTGAAGTGTGAAGAGATAATAAGGGTGGGAAGGAGTAAGCTCACTGCGTAATCCAGGCAGTATAAATGATAATCTACCTTCCCACCTTTACTCATAAAAGCTGCTGGAGCTCACTGTAGCTGCCAAGTTTGATATTAGAAGGAAGGACTCCAAGACCCACAGGGAATTCCTCAGCAACAACTTCAGCTGCTCCCATGTCCTGCAGACTGGATGGACCTTTATCTAAAGGAGGTAAGCAGGGACAAGGAGAGGGTCTTTTCCCCTCTAAAGGAGAACGTCAGCCAGCAACCTGGGGAGAGGGAAATAAATATACTCCTTGCCATCTGCACCATGTTTGCTCCCTTCCCACCCTCTCCCCTCTCATACACACAGATGTTCTCAATGCAGAGGAAACTGAAACCCCAAAATCGGGTCCTTCATATCTTGTCTTCAAGAACTTCTCTGGCATGGTATTACGGAAATAAGGAGATTTCTTATTGTCTAATACTCTGTTCTCCAACAGATTTTCTTCAATTAGATAAAGAATAACTATTATCTTGGAGATTAGCCACTGTGTTGTAGGGAGAACTAGTTTGGGGGATGAAGAAGTTTGGGGGATCAGAAATGCTTATTAAAAAGTAGATTTGTGCTGTCTTGTAAGATGAGAAAAACAAATTGAGGCTTTCTCATCGTGTATCAGCCATAGTTTTGATGTCTTCAGCAAATCATAATTTAAAAAAATCCGAGAACTTTAAATAGAGAAGCGAAGTAGACCATTTGTCTCTGACATGTATTGTTTCTGTTAGTTTACAGAGTAGTCTGTAAATTCCCAAGCAGGGACTGCAAGGCTTGAAGCTCTAGGGGAGGGGAGATGTCTGAAGCAGAGCCACTATCGTTCATCTGCCCCACAGCACCATCCCTGGGAAAAAGA